GGTGGATCTGGGAAGTGTTAAAAGGAGATGGGGTGAATATCATAAAAATACATGAACTTCTCAAAGAATTCATAAAAATATTTTTAAATTTATTTATTACAATTTATTCACTTTGTATCCCAGCTGTAGCCCTCTCCCCTCATTCCACCCTCCCTCCCTCTTCTTCCTCTATACCCCTCCCCTAGTCCACTGATAGGGGAGGTCCTCCTCCCCTTCCATCTGACCCTAGCCTATCAGGTCTCATCAGGACTGGCTGCACTGTCTTCCTCTGTGGCCTGGTAAGGCTGCTCCCCCTCAGGGGGACGTGATCAAAGAGCCAGCAGCTGAGTTCATGTCAGAGACAGTCCCTGTTCCCCTTAGGAGGGTACCCACTTGGACATTGAGCTACCTATGGGCTTCTTCTGAACAGGGGGTCTAGGTCCCCTCCATGAAAGGTCAGAACATGATTAGCGAATACACGCACACACAGAGTTCTTTTATTAATTTACAGGGTTTGTTTTTTGTTTTTTTTTTTTTTTGAGAATTTTACACCTGGTAAAGTTACTATTTTCAAAATGTCAATTCTTTTACAGGTGATTAAGTGGCTTCTGAGAGAGGGAGAATTAATCTTCTCCAGAGTGGGTTACCCCATCCTAAACATATGCATATATGAGAACAGCAAATGCATTCATGAGGCTGTGTGTGTACATATTATTAATGTGTGTAATATTTGTAGTATAATTTTATTATGTAATTGAAGAAGAGGTCAAAAAATTAAGTGAAAAAAATAAAGAAGAGGTCATTGATTGGAGAGGTGGTGGGGAGGGCATTAGAGGAATTGGAGGGGCAGGTCAATTTATGTAAATATAGTACTTAAGTATAAAACTGTTAAAAAAAAAACACCCGGGGGGGGGGAAATCAATTCTTTTATGTTTATACTGTATATTTCACTTGTAAACTCAGGATATCTCCTTTGAAGTTAGTGTTCAGGGTCTGGAGAGATGGCTCAGCAGTGAAACGTGTTGGCTTCTCTTCCAGAAGGCGTCAGGTCAGTTCTCAGCGGCCACACAGGCTGCTCACCACGGCCTGTTCCAGGGGCACCCACGCCCTGCTGGCCTCCTCAGCCACCCACATGCATACGGCATGCATGCACATACAAATAAATGAAAATGAAAATAGACTGTAAACGTAAGGTTAGTGTTCCGAGATAGGAACTGTGATCTACTGTGCACATTTCTAAGGATGATATTAATTGAGAGTGTCTTAATAAGTGGTAAGTACACATTGTAACATAGACTAAAATATGCAGATGAACAAAACAAGAAACAAATCAATTATGTTTACAATGTAGGATGCACACTGATTTATAATTTGCTGTGTAAAATTCAAAGTTTTTTTTTTCTTTGTGACTAAAAAAGATACATTTTCTTATTAGTTTTGTTATCTGACAGTTTTGTGCATGTATATAATATAGTCTGTTTACCTCCCTTATCTTCCTCTTACCCCAGTCAGCTCTCCCTCATTTCTAAAATCTCATAAAAACAGAACAAAAACTTATCTATCTGTCTGTCTGTCTATCTATCTATCATCTATCCATCCATCCATCTGTCGCGTGTGGGGAAAATGGATTCATGCCACAGTGAGTATGGGGAGGCCAAAGGACAATTTGCAGGATTCAGTTCTTTTCCTCCACCATTGTAGGTCTTTGGTATTAAATTGGATCATCAGGCTCGGCAGCAAGCATCTTTACCTGCTGAACCATATCCTCAGGTCATGATTTACTCAAACAAACCAAAATCTCAGACTATACTGCTTCAGAACCTGCTTTGAAACTTAACAGTATTTTTTGAAAGACCTTTTACAGGATCATTATGTGAAGACATACTTTCAGTGTGTGACTGAACTCTGAGAGAAGGAGCCAAAGCTCTCTTAACATTTCTGTTGTTGTAAATGTAATTTGTTAGTCTGCTTTCCAGCACTACAGCAAATATCTGGGAGAAACAGAATTTCAAAGAGAAAAGGGTTGCCTTGTTAGTCTGGTCTATGATCAATTGGTCCTGTTTATTTAAGCCCATGAGAAGGTAGAAACATCAGGTGGGAACATGGGGCAGAGCAGAGCACACAGAATCACAAAGTCTCAGCATGCCTGCAGAGTGGGCATTCCCATTTTGCTATACTCCCCCACTACGAGGCAAGAGAACCCATTCTGTCGGTCCTCCTGCTTATTAAGCTCAAAAGAGTCTAATACTGACTCGGCAGGTAAAGGTGCAAGCCACCAGGCCTGACGAGCCAAGTTCAATCCCCAGGACCCACATGAGAGAGGAGGAGTACTGGCTTGGCAGCTGCCTCCAACCTTCATATTTCCACCATGACACATACCTCCACCATGAAATAAATTAGGTGATTAAAAAGTTTACGTCCCTAATACTGAACCTGAATATAGTAGCACTATATTTAAAAAAAAAACAAACAAACAAAAAACAGTTTACTTTCTGGTCTAATCTCACTAAAGGAGAGAGTTCCATTTTTACACTTCAGTACATGTGGACATTAGTTTAGGAATATTAATTGTTCCTGAAGCAGTGAGATTTTTAAACACATGATTTTCTTGGAATTGCCAGTAATGAGCATAGGTTATTCTAATCCAGAATCTTCGTGGAATGAAATTAGGGTCAACACAGCACATGGACTGGGAAATTTCATCTTGTTGGCTCACTGCATTTAGGTAAAGGGAAAAGAAAGGCTCACGCACAGCTCTCGGCCGCTGTGCAGCAGCTGCAGAGACTTGTTTTTCTGGGTGGGAATATTTTCCCAGTACTGGAAACCATCTGCTTAGTCCCGTCTAAGACACAGCGGCAACACCAAGTCAAAGAGAAAGCGGAACTCACCGTGCCTTGCCCAAGAGAACTGTCCGTCCCGCTTTCAGGACTCAGAAAATGTTTAAAAAAGAACAAGTTATTTTTAGTGCAAGTCATCCCCATAGCAGTAAATTCCTATTGCTATAGGTGGAGGATCACAGCTCAGGTCTCTCAAAGGAAATCCAATTAAAATTCCTTCCACCTTACACCCCTTTCACACCGAAGGAGCCAGAGGGTATGTTGTGTCCTCTCTGCATCCAGTTAGAATAAAGACTGAGAGAGAAACTCGCCATCAAAAAGTAAAGAATTAAACAGTCGCTGGAGTAAGACAAATATCACACAGAACCTCAATAGGAGGAGAAACAAAACAAAACAAAAAACCTTTAAGTATTCTCACAGTGTCCACTCACTCACCAAGGGAGAGATCATCCGTCCCACCCACACCCTCTGAAAACTGAGTGTGCTGTGCAGGCTTTGACGTGTTTCTAGTAAAATCAGCCATCACCGTAACACCATTTCACAAACTAAGCCCCAAACTGACCTTTAAGATCAGCATCTTATTCTAAAAGGCACTTTGCTGGGGATTTGAGTGGAAGCTTTTATTTAGAAAACACACACGACAATCTTCATGCTGCCTTTTCCCATTTCTTAACCCAGTGCCTTAGAGCGCTCGGGAACGCTACCCAGCTGCCTTTATCTGTTTCTAAGTGCGTGGCTTCTTTGAAAATGGCTCCGTTGCTTTTATTTTACGCATTTGTTAACCATAAAAACAGAAATGCCACGGGCATCGTAGCCCGAGTTCGTCCTCATCAGTATTCACATGTCCCCTCCACTGCTGTTTTCATCTTCAGTTCCAGGACCCAGTGACACAAGAATATTTTAAGACCTGAAGTCGGTGGTGAGCTTTCAAGGACCCTGTAAATAACAACCTAATGCTCGTTCATTTCCTGTAGCCATCACGGCCTACCGCCTCTAGGTGTTTTCAGTGCGGTCAAACAGAAGTGGCTGGGTGTAGGACCCTTAAGAGATCTAATGCAGGAAGCTGACAGCCGTGCTTTGCTCTTTAAAGTTAATCCTTAGAATTAACACTGCCTCCTTCCCTGAATTATTCTCATTTATATTCTCCTTTGAAAACCAGCGAAGAAAGTGGGTGTTTTATGAAACCTTAAAGTTCTCAGAGGCACTTACCTTTTTACTGGAGCCTCTGTTATTGCTCTAATATTCGTCTCGCACAGGCTTTTCATTTTGTACAAATTATTTACATTGAATTCAATTAAGTTTATGGTTTCCTTCAAAGGATGACATATACAGTACCTAATATTTTTTCAGTAAAATGGCCTTGCCTGCTCACTAGCACATTCTCTCAGGGAGACCCTTGGCTCTCCGAGCTGATGCATACAAAACTGTTTTTCTGGCGACTCTTAGATGGTTGAGACACTTAGTTCCCAAACATTTCAGCACACCGAGGTTACATATGTGAGTTTTTAAAGTGGGTTCTAATGTTTGTTAACCCGATTAAATGCGATTAAACCTCTGTAGCCACTTTTTAAAAAGTACTTCGTGTGCTGGGAAATAAGTTCAGAAATCCAGAGTAATTTTATATGAAATAACATTATCCTTACATCAGCATAAATTAATTTCAATAAAAGTGTTGGTGACTCCCCGTGAGGGAAATGAAACGTATCGCTGTTTACACTCAGTCCGTCCCAAAGTGAAAGGACTGCCTGTCCTTTCGATCCGCATGCCGCCATGTGGGGACAGTTGTAAGCTCTTGTCTTGGGTGTTTGATGGCATGGGAGAAGGTTGGGGGGAACCTCTGAATGCTCCTGCTGAGAGCAGCTGCTCCGCACTGAATCCTCTTTAATAACCGTTTGTGAGATCAGCGCATCTCCTCAGAACTCTCCTGTGGTTTGCAAGCAGACCGAGCCGGGACAGCCAGATCGGTTTAACAGAGAGGGGCTCTCGAGACATTCATGGGTGAACCTGGAACTGCACTCTGAGACAGCTATATTCTTTACGAAAATCACTGCAGATGCAAAAGTGTGCTTGAACTAAATATAGAGATCGCACACACAGACCTCCGAATTTTTGAAAAATTATCACAAATTTATTGAAATTTACATTTCATTACATACTTTTCATTAAATTGAATGAGATGGTTCTTATAATTTTCATCAAAAGGTGTTTGTGTTTTAATACACTTTTTTTTTTTTTTTTGTCTAGACTGTTTGAAGAACTGGTTGATAAATGATTTTCAACTCTGGCTCCCGGGACAAGGGAGTGATACATCCTTTGCCACAGAAGCTGGTGGCTCGTGTGCATTCAGATTTCAAGTATATCTAGCCTTTTCTGTAGCAAGAGCCAGTCTTCGGATGTTGGATATGCAGCCGGCAGCAGCTTCCTGAAGATCCTGGTCTGGGGACCCTACCATGTCCAGTAGAAGCTGTCACATCCCCAGGAAGAGGAAAGAAAGGAATGAAATCATTAATCCAAAGGCATCAAACTAGGCCACGGAAATAGTTCAAGGCAGCATGGATTTTTAAAGAGCAACCAAGGGCCTGAGGAGACAGCTCTCTGGATACAAAAGCTTACTGTGTAACCATGTTGGGATCCCCAACACCCATGGAAAGCCCAGCCCGGCCTCCTGGGCCTGAGCTACCAGTGGTGGACAGCACACAGAGGTGGGCGCTTGCAAGCCAGGTAGTATAGAAATGGGGAGGTTGAGGTTCCATGGGAAACCTGAGCCAGGGGACTAGGTTGAGGATCATGAAGCAGGACAGCAGGCATACCCCTCTGCCCTCTGTAGCCACCATGGAGACGACCTCTCAACCCACACGTGCACACCCACACAGACGTGTGTGGGGGAAACCCACTTAGGTGACTCAGAGGCTCACCCCCGTGCAGCAGTTCCTCACATCTTCTTACTGTTTTCTTGCTATAAGCCTGCTTCGGAAATTCCTCTGACAGCCCTTTAGCTTTTCTACCTTCTCAAGGACAGAGCAGCAGCACATTGACCCTACATTGACCCCACCCCACATGTAAGAGGTAGCACACCTTACATTTAGCACCCGGACTTTAGCGTTTGGTCCACCTGAGAGTGGATTCCTCATCCCCCCAGTGCCTTAGCAGACTGTCCCCCAATGCCAGGGAAAGGCTTTGTGCGCTCTGGCCTCTGGCTCTCCAGCCATTCCTTTCTCCTCTACCACAGACCGCAAGGTCCCTTTTCCCCACACTCCTTGCCTCAACTACTGCCGCCTCTTTCCTTAACGCACCCCCTTCCATGGCTTTGTAAAGCTCACTCACCTTGTGTAGAGGTTTATTCACCGGTATATCCCAACAAACAGCTATCCCGCAAAGCCACAACTGATTTTCATCAAGCCAAGGGCCCCTTCTCCCACTTGGGCTTTGGCAGCTGGTTCAGATGTCTACAGCATTTAGGCTGGTTCCCTTTAAACAGGTATTGGGTTCCTGTTTTCTGTCGGCCGGATCGTGAACACTCATGGAAATTTATGATGCCATCCACAGTGCATGCACAGATCAGATGCCAAGTAAATGCCAAATCAATGAACTACAGCTTTTGAAAATTAACAAATATGACTCGGTAAGATATTTTAGAAGTGAATTGGATTCTAGATTTTCTACGCAGAAGTACTGCACACAAATTTGGATAATGCCAAGACATGAAGATGATGTTATCAGCAAAGAGTGCCGGGAAGGGAAAAGCATTGTGCGATGGAGGCACAGGCCACACGCATGGATGTGGATTGTATTCTCACAGCAGAAATGATTTAATCATCTCAGTTAGGGGAGAAACATGGCCACGTGTGTATTTTAGAGAGCTTAACAGCAGCGTACAGATTATGGACCATAGGGAGAAGATGCTGGAAGGCCCGGCTCACCTCAGAGTTGACAGGCAGCGAGCAAAGAATAAGTGCAGTGAAGAAGGAATTAATCTAGTGACCATTTAGGGAAGAAATATACAATCAAATGGTGCGAGAAAGACTGGTTACCCAAACAGCAAATAAAAATGTTAATCTCATCCCATCACCCATAAACACCAGCCCAAGTGGACTGATGTCTTAAGTGAGAAAGACATGTAAACCGTTCACAGGTTGCATATGAGGACGTCGTGACCAGATTGGGCTACCGACAGTCACCTGCCTTCTCTGTCCCTTGACCTTTATGTCACTTAGCTCTCCACCCCGGGCCACACCGTGGTCTTCACTTTTCAGCGCTCTCAGCTCTCTGATCCAAACTCTCTGGCTGCAGCCCCATCCCCTATGACACATAGCGTCTGTTTGCTTTTATCATATGTAGAAGGAATCTCTGTGTCTGCACGGACGACTCACCTGTCAATAAAAAGCTAATCGTCTGTTAGCTGAGGCAAGACAGAGGAGGTGGGAGTTCCAGCAGAGAGATAATGAACTCTGGGAAAGAGAGAGAGGCAGAAGATTTTGCCCGTGGACTCTGAAGGAGATGTACATATGAAATCAAGGAAGGGTAAAATCAGCCAAGTGGCACACATATTATAGAATAAATGGGTATTTTTTCAATTTTTTATTAATTGCAATTTATTCATTTTTTATCCTAGCTGTAGCCCTCTCCGTCATCCCCTCCCAATCCCACCCTCCCTCCCTCCCTCCTCTCCTCCAATGCCTCTTTCCAAGTCCACTGAGAGGGGAGGTCCTCCTCCCCTTCCATCTGACCCTAGCCTATCAGGTCTCATCACGACTGGCTGCATTGTCTTCCTCTGTGGCCTGGCAAGGCTGCTCCACTCTCAGGGGGAGGTGACCAAAAAGCCAGCCAAAGAGTTCATGTCAGAGACAGCCCCTGTTCCCATTACTAGGGAACCCACTTGGACACTGAGCTGCCATGGGCTACATTTGTGCAGGGGTTCTAGGTTATCTCCATGCATGGTCCTTGGTTAGAGTAACAGTCTCAGAAATGACCCCTGTGCCCAGATTTTTTGATTCTGTTGCTCTCCTTGTGGAGCTCTTGTCCTCTCCAGGTCTTTCTATCTCCTTCTTCTTTCATAAGATTCCCTGCACTCTGCCCAAAGTTTTGCTATGTCTCAACATCTGCTATCCTGCTGGGCAGAGTCTTTCAGAGGCCCTCTGCGGTAGGCTCCTGTCCTGTCCCCTGTTTTCTCCCTCTTCCAATGCCTATCTTGTTTTCCATTCTGAATGAGGATTGATCATCTTACCCAGGGTCCTCCTCCTTGCTTAGCTTCTTTAGGTGTACAAATTTTAGTATGATTAATTTCTAATATCCACTTATAATTAAGCATATACCATTTGTGTCTTTCTGGGTCTGGGTGACCTTACCCAGGATGATCTTTTCTAGTTCCTACTATTTGCCTGCAAATTTCATCATCTCCTTGTTTTTAATTGCTGAGTAGTAGTTCATTGTGTAAATGTACCACAATTCCTGTATCCATTCCTCCATTGAGGGACATCTGGGTTGTTTCCAGATTCTGGCTATTACGAATAAAGCTGCTATGAATATATTTGAGCAAATTGTGGATATTTTAAGTTAAAAACTAATCGGGGAACAAGCCAAAGCTGACGGCCTAGGCATTCATTCATAAATAACAAAGTCTCAGAGTCTTTATTTCGAGAACTGGGATGGGGGAGGAAAATCCGTGGTTACAGCTGTTTGGGTTTTTAATGTTTTTCTTGAGGAGTCCTGGTACATTGGCTTGTATCCACGGTCCATCTCTGTAGTCATCCTTTTACATTTCTTAAAGCTTCTTCGGTGGCATCCACTCGTCACAGCCAGGGTGGTCACAGAGCCACCTCTGACTCTTGGGTGATCACCGGTGCCTGAGCTTGGCAGGAGGCTGTGTACAACCAACGAGGTGAGTAAATCTCCTGTAAATCCAACTGCCATGGGGTCCCTCTACTGCCTTGCAAGCTAAAGGTGTCTCTTTCTCTACTCGGGTTCCTTTCCCATGCTCCTCAGAGTCCAGTTCAGGTTTTCATTCTTCAGTGTCCTCTGCAGCCTCCCAGCAGGGCCTCAGCACATAACCTAGCTGAGCTCTGAAAGTCACAGAAGCTGCCACAGGGGAACAGCTGTAAAGGCAGCCACAGCAGCAGTGCGGCAACAGCCTTGTCGCCTCCTGTCAGCCCGGCACGTGCCCTGCCCACCTCTCCAAGGCCTTCATCACATTTCTCCATCCGGGTCCCTCTCTCTAGGAAGTTTTACTCTCATATACTCTCTACCCTTTTCCTTTCCAGTGGCTCTTTTCCGTCTTCATTTAAACACACTTTTCAGGCTCTGTGATATGGTTCAGAGGGCCAAGGCCTTTGCCACCAAGCCTGAAGGTCTGGGCTTGATCCCCAGGACCCATAAAGGGAGGGAGGGACGGAAGAAGGGAAGAGGAAAAAGGAGGCTTTCCATTGTTTCTGGGTTACCCAGCTTCTTCGCAGACTGAACCTCCAGTGAGGACTGGCTCAGCAGGCATTCTGAAGAGAACTATTTGCACAGCGCCCCTCGTGCCCAGCACAGAGCTACAGTCTCAGAAATGGTATTCTTTTGGTGATGATTTCCCCAGTTTCCAGGAACTGGTTGGCTTGCTGGAGGCTAGCCCTGGTAGATTAGGGAGGAAGGAAAAAGGAGGAATCCTGGCCCTGACGTCAATCTGGATCTTGTCAGTGCTTGCTCCAGGCCCCTGCTCTCGAGTTCCATGACCCAGGCTTCTCTGGGCACCTGCCGTTGCCTCCTTGCCAGGCTCCCTTGGAAAGGAAACCCTTGATCTGATGCCTGTCAGAATGAAGCACACATTTCGCTTCTCCTCTCTCAGACCAGGTTGTTCTGTAGTACCCTTTCAGGCTCGCCAAGAGTCGGCTATGTTTATTTCCAAACCCTGGACTCATGTTACACAATTCCACACCGAAGAAACCAGTGAGCTGTGAGCGACAACTGGCTGAGTGCTGGCTCTTTTAGGGGTCATCCAGGTAAAAGTCTGGAAGAGGAGAATCTCTTGCCCATTCACATGCTTTATGCTAGGCGTCTCATCCAGGCTGGCACCTTCGTGGGATGCTGAATGGACTTTCCCCATCCCTGACAATGCTCCAGATGATGGCTTCCCATTAGGGGATCCACATTGCCTAAGCTCCTCCATTAAACATGAGGCTTAGCTCTGTATCCCTCGTAGAATGCTTATTGACATTTTTTTTTTCTAAAGACAGACCAACAGTGGGACACTGTTTTAAAAGTCTAATCCAGGTTGGGAGATAGCTTGGTCAATAAAATGTTGTCTTGCAAAAAACCTGAGCTCAGTCCTCTGGTCCTGAGTCCTTTGTTTATGGTTTTGGAAGGTTGAACATGTAATCCTAAGGCCTGGGGAGATAGGGGCAGATGGATCCTGTGGGCTGACTAGCCAGTCAGCCTGGCTCACACCGGTGGCAAGATCCACTCGAGTGAGGAGCTCTGTGGGCAGGG